AAAATATCCAGAATGAACCTGTACATGCTCCAGATTCACATTCAGCAGCTATAATATGAACTGATACACACTGGCACTGCTGATAGTCCCAGTTCATCCAGGGTAGGTCCATCATCTCCAGAGATGACTCCAACAGTTTGTCTGCTGGAGTAAAATCTATTTTTTTGGTAATATTAAGCTTGATAAATGAAACAGATGTTAAGTGGCATTTAGCAGAAACTTCACTATCCTTTTATGAATATTTACATATGACAGTAAACAATCCTCCTTCAAGAAATTTAGTTCAAAAACTCAGCCGATCAAAATGATATTCGCATTAATCACCTGCAGTTCAATCTCTTTGACAATGTCTTTGGAGACAGACTAATAGAAAGATTTATGCGCATGCTGAACAGAATTAATTTTTATTTACTTTGCTCATACTTTACAGTAAAATGAACAATAATCATAAACACAGAAACTCTGATGCTTAAACAAATGTTTCAACACAATGTACTTTTCTAAATGAGTATCAAGAAGGATTTTATGATCAAAGAAAAAAGAAAAGAAAAAATTGTAGAATTATAAGGATAGGACTGTCTTACCTGAACACAATTAGTTAACAAATAAATACATTTCAAATAATAATGTAATAAAATGATCAGTACTACAAGCTACAGTGTGGGAGGAGCTGATGCAAAACTGTTCTAGTTTATCTTTACATAAGTGTTAGAGAGTTTAAGACAGAGTGTAAATCATTGATGTACCCACTGTAGACTGCAGAGAGAAATAGCTTTCATCATGTTCAGACTTCATATGTGGTTCACTTTTCTCATTATTTTAATGAACTGGGCTGGTAAGGATTATACGTTTACTTTTACTAATGAAAACACATAAAATGTCTGCATCATTGTATCTAATGAGCTGTTTGTTTGTAGGTACTGAAGGTCAAACACTGACTGAGTCTGAATCAGTGGTTAAAAGGCCTGGAGACTCCCACAGACTGACCTGTACATACTCAGGGTTCAGTAGCGGTTACTGGAACGCTTGGATCAGACAGGCTGCTGGAAAAGGACTGGAATGGGTTGCTACTATCAGTGGTGACAGTAGCTGCATCTACTACTCTGAGTCAGTCAGAGGCCGGTTCACCATCTCCAGAGACAACAGCAGAAAGCAGGTGTATCTGCAGATGAACAGCTTGACGACTGAGGATTCTGCCGTTTATTATTGTGCTCGA